GGCACCTACACCTACTGGCAGCTACGACGCGATAGTCTGGTGATTACGAATCAAACTGACAATGCAGCCGACGTGCTGAACAAATTGCAAACGCTAACGTGCATGCGATGAGAACGACTCCGAATGAAGAATTACTGTTGTAATTAAGTTTATTGAAAGTCAGAAAGAATGTTCCACCGCCATTATATTCTATTACTGTTTGTAAAATTACTCACTCCACTAGTTTATTACAATTTTTTCTAAGTGATCATCGTTATATTGATAATTGTAAATTACTGTTGCTTTAGTATATTTTGAATACTGTTAAAATAAAGTGAGTAAGTCTAGAAATTCCCGAAACTGAAAACATCGATCTCAAGTCACGAAGGTGCCAAAAAATCGTTGAGACTCGAAATTTTTTCGAGACCGACATTCCCGAGATGAAAGTCTGAACTCCGAGATAATACGGATTATGATAGATGACAGATAAAATTTATCGGTGTTTTGTAGAACAGGCGTAAGCTATATTTCGTAGATTTTTCACTGGAGCATGTTTTACGTTTTAATGATTAAAATATTTACGTTCTGTTTTAAAATTCGATTTAAAAATTTAAACTTAATTGAAACTAAAATTGAATTTTCAAATAGGACTTAAACATTCGCAGGACAAACAAAAACGTTTTTATTATTACTTCGGGCATCTATTTTAGATTTTCACCTCTTTTAAAAGACTTCTGCATTTTTAAATGGAAGAGTCGATATTTCACGGTAGTGGCACAATCAGCCAGGGTATGGGACGCAGGTTCAGGAACTCGAAAACGACACGTACCATGTCGACCATCACTACTTTCCGCTTTCGTGCGGAAGTGACTCGCCACAGAAATTCAACCGCCTCTAGTTTTTAGTGAGACTGGCTGGACAAAATGAACTATATACTATTTTAATAACTATCGTTGTGCTTTCAAACAATTACTCGCACCTATCACAAGGTGACGATGTGAGCAAATTCCGCACAATAATAGTATAAAGACGCCGACGGCTTGGATTGAAAGGTGAATGTTCGAGGCATAAAACAGATGGAGATCAAGATGTAAGTAGTACGCATCGGCGGTTGGTTAGGAGATGTAGTTCCTTCCGTTTTATGGTTTTGGAGCTTTGCTTTATACCTACGTCCGGGTTACGAGAAGTTTTTGGGGCTTCGATTTACTAAAAAGATGTTATTTTATGCAAAATTAACCGAAAATCTCAATTTAAATTTACGTGGCAGCGTAGAGTAATTGAGCTTGTTGTTTTCGGTTGTTCCCAGTAGTGACTATAAAATTATACTTTTAATTTAATGACGTAGAACGTAAATTTGACTTTATTTAAATTACATGGTTTTTAATTTTTGCAGTTTAAAGCAGTGACAGAGGAACTTTTTAGAAGTTATTGAATATTTTTTTTTATATAAGAGACGAGACGTGTTTGTAACGGCTATTGAAATTTGCACTTCAAGCGTCAGTGAAGAAGGTTGTTAAAGCTCTTGAAAAGAATTTTACGCAAATCACTAACCCTGATAGTAGGCCAAAGTTGTGAACCGTGAACTGTTAGACAAAAGCCGTTAGAATATAATGGGGCTAAGATATAGGCTTTAGGAAGTTGTCGAGTGAAGGATAGGATGCGAAAGATAACAACGTCCTCGTTCTCTTGCTAAGGTTGTACAGCTCTGCTCCTCAGGGATGACTTACAAATATCACCACCGACTCCAACGAATGCTACTGGTACATACGTTCAATAAAAAAATACTTTCAAATAGTTCTTTACTTTTTTGGTTTCACTTCTTCGCATAAACTTACTCAAGTCAAATCCACAACTATTTTCTGTAAAATGTCATTGTCAATGTGTGATAAGCGTTTAAAATTCAAGCTGTGTTGTTATGGAAATGCTAACACATGTCTCTTGAAACAGAGAAAATGTTTATACAGCTAATATATAATACTCCGCACGTCTGTTTTGGCTGCAGACCGAGTAGAGTAACCTACTCACTAAGGCCTCTCAACGACCGAACCTCGAAACAGGCGGTTGAATATTAACAGAACAGGTCCCTAGCGAATTTCGTCCGGGCCTGACACCAGACACTTGACACTTGTTATACAGTTTAAGCTTAATTTTGGTTACGTATACAACAGTTTGATACTTAGTTGAACTAATTAATCTTCCGATTCTGTTTTGTTGTCTGAAGTTCCGAAGTCGTCGCGTTAACCCGTCGGTGAGTTGTTGTCACTGGATATCAAAGCTGATTAATACACTTGAGGTGATAATACGCATAAAAATGCAGTGGGCATTTACATAAAAAAATTAAAAACATACTCCAAAGACACAGAAAAGTGTTGATTGTTTTCTATACAACCTTCGCGATGATTTGGTGGACTCACAAGGTAGCGAAAACAGGACTTAAGTGGAAACATGCAAAAGGCTTTTGATGTTTTCACGCGGTGAATAGCGAAATCCTTCAGATAAATAAGCATTTAACCGCGAAGTCATCTTCACGGCCATTTATCTTAGTTCTCTTTCGTTAATTCATCTCAGGGATTTCCTGTCACCACGGCATAAATGCTATCGATGTATTTCCAAGGAGACTATAGGGTATTTTTGAATAAAAATGAAAATCGATTTTGTGCTGACATTTTGATGGACAGACCACCCTAAAAGGCATTTAAAATTATATTTTATACAAAAGTTAGATCACATTTTTTATCCTTAATTTCTTTACTTTCGCTCGCGACTTTGTACGTGTGTAAGAAAAAAAATCGTGGAAATAGACTATCTTCCTGGTCAATATCCTCTAAACCCATTCAACCGAAATTGGCACGATTGAGTGACGACCACTCTAATGAGGATAAACAAATTTAACTTTTAACTTGTGAACTATAAAATTCATTTTGATAAGACTTCCTGATTGCATCATTAGAGAATGACGTTTTAGAAACTTTTAAATCCAATTTGATCTTTAACGTCTAAGCTGGAATTCCTTAAACGCTTTTCTGTTGAATGCGTAAAATGGCTCTCAGAATCAAAAGGTTGGCTGGAGGGTCAGGTATCTTAGCGCACCGACTGTACAAGTCTTTGTTCTTGGACAAACACTTAGAACCGAATAATTCGCCGTGCAAATGACGTCACTCGCTCATCATTAGGCATCATCTGAAGACGTCAATCGGTGATATTTACTTTGTAGCATTTTACTACGTGCACGCTGGTCTTTTCGTATACGGTAAGCCGTATGTTACTTAATGATTTATATATTAACAATGTATAAATAATTTTTATATAATGATATGTGGCTTCACATTTTTATTCGTATTGATTTTTATTGAATATCATAATGTCATCCATTTCACTTTTTTTTTAAATTACTCCACTAGGGAAGAACGCAAAGAAAAATTCAGGAAATTGACAGGACTCGAAGCTGTGTCTATGCCAAACCAGGGCCACCACTATACCCACTGAGCTACGAGCTATAGAACGAATTTCTCTAAGTGTTTGCTGTATATCTTTTATTTTGGGTTTTTTTGGCTTTGATCGCCGTACATTTATGGTAAATAAATAATATCACTGCTACGCAATTTGTTTATTTGTCCAAATAAGTTGCCCGTTTACAAATCTCGTATAGTAGCTTTCTGCGGCTACTTACGCGCCGTTACCTTTGAAATATCAATCTAACAAATAATTTATTTGTATGAAAATAATACATAAAGCGCAGATCGCGCCGCGATATTGTGTCGTTTATTGCGACGTTTATGTATTTGTATGGTGCGCTTGAATTGCCTAACTGCCTCCGTGGCCGATCGATCACCACGCCGGACCGCCACGCAGAGGTCCCAGACACGATTCCCGGGCCAGGAGAAATATTTGTATGGCCTACATTTATTTCTCTCGTGAGTATGGGTGTAGTTTGTGGTGGTCTATGTGTGTATCCATGGCACCCGCGACACAGGGTTTCCCAAATGCGGGGCTGTGTTGGGTGTATGAGTTATAATTATTATTATTGACTTGTATTAGATATTAATAGCGGTCTACGCTTCCATTCTTTTGTACATCATCTGTACCTAACTGACAACGTATAGACTTGTGTTGTGGATCGATCAATGTAATAAGTACGTAAACATGGCAAAGCTTTGTGTTGCCATAGGATGTAATTCAGCTTTGCAACTACAAATAATTCTTGTGAAATGACGTATGAGTAATGGTTAATTTATGAATTAACGCATTTTGAACTTATGTACGAAAATGACTGAAAAATGACACACTGATCCAAAAGGGTATCTACTGGCCTGGAAAATAAACAAGTGAGACAAAAAGCCTTAATACGCTTTAGCCGCTATGGTTCAATCAATACACTAAGTCCACATTATTCGACATTAACAGGTCGTCATTTATTCCCAAAACCTGAAAGCTGCACATCGAGCAACAGTATTACAATGAAGATGAGTAAATCAAAAGAGTGGCGTCAAAACTGAACCGAATGATAAGATTATCAAGGGAAGCGAGACCAAGTGAGGCGACGGAGACGACAGCAGGCGAGACGGGAGGGCGTGAGATAACAAGGTATCGATGAACAGGAAGGAGATATTCAATATGGGCACGTCATTTCACCGTCACGCACTCTACCAAATTTGTATGTGTACAGGCTTTATATTCGCCGGCGGCGTGGTTGCGTGCGGTTTTAAAGTGACAACTGAAATGGCGCAGTATATAGGTACGCTCCCTTGAAAACAAACAACCTTAGATTGGTTTTTCATGGATAGAACACAGAAAATAAAAATTATTTCTATATAGATTTATATACTTATGTGTGCACATAAGGGCAACCTCATCAACAAGTAATAGCGCGCGTCGAAATTCACCTTTAATAAATTGACCGAGTCGTACTGTCACTCGTTGGCGTGATATTATTTGCGACACGTGGCTGTGGCACACAACAAATGTGACCTCATTTGTCGCAGCGTCGAACTTCTTCCGCGACCGGAAAAGTTAAGGAACAGATGAGGGCTAAGGGCACCTTCGCGAACCCAGCATCAATCAAGGAGGATAAAATGCGTAGCAGGTATGAAGTGTAACGAATCATCTTTTGAATGCTTTGTGTCTTCTGCTCAAGATATTACAGAACAGTTTATTTTTGTGGCAACAGCGTTACATTATTGTTTTATTTTTAGTTTTATATTTGTTAAATACAAAAAACATTATATATGCAATATACTGTTAAATAAGTCAACTGACGATACTACACTAGTATTTTTTGTGTGAATTTTAAAGTTTATAGAAATATAAAGAGTTGTGTCATTTTGAAATGAAAATAACAGATTGAAAACGATATTACCAATTCACCATCTCTATTTTTATTTTCTCAATATTAATTCATTTTATTAATAATTGCGAAGAAAAACTGAAATATTGTTTATAAATAAAAACATCTTGATATGATTATTCAAGCTCGGCTATTTCTTTTGAACCCAAGTAAACACGAGGTTTAGCGCAATAAAAATACTACTGATTTATGTAGCGAACAGACAAAAGAGAACAAACAAAATAATAGTGAGAAAACAAAGTTATTACATTGAACAAACGAGTCTATGAGTGTCTCTAAGGCGACGACGTCGACGTAACGAACGAAGCACAGAACAACAAATAGAGTTGAAGTGCTTAGAGAGCGCGGCACGTGCGCGGCACCCGCGCGGCACCCGCGCGGCACCCGCGCGGCACGTGCGCCAACAGCACGCGGAGTTCCACATACTTAAGCTCAGTCCGCCATTTTCACTTTGTACGTTATGATCGTGTAAGTTATCCAGCGCAAAACCTCGAAAATGGTGGGAAAAAATCTTATTTTACATTCATTTATCCATGGTGGTGTTCATTGACTTACAAATAAATGGACGACGGGTCTAATACAAAAACCACGAAAAAAATGTCCCAAGTCAACCTATTCGAAATTTAAATTGTAATGTCATCGCAGTATCGCGCTGTCAGTCGAACAAATGAAGACTAAAGCGGAGTTTGGCGCTCTGTATACGATTTTAGCGCCTTACAAGTGCGGACACTTTTTAGCGCGGACCCGACGTCCATATAATTGTAAGTCAATGGTGGTGTTGCATATAATTGTTAAGTCTTAATTTATTTAATTTAATAAATTGTAATTTTTCATCATCAATATTATTTTTTATGTAACAAGAAACGAACATAAACCTTATAACGCTACGACAACCATGTAACGCTTCTTCTTTGGATAACTTGTAGATAATCTTGAGTTCAGAGTGTCTTAGAACAGATGGAAATAATTAGGTACAACAACAGGGGTTGTATAATTAATGAACAATTGAATTTTGCATCATCACCTTTATTACGGGTATTTTTGGGTTTCAACAATAGCAACACTGGGGGTAGCGGGGTATAAATACACCAACCGTTCTGAACGAGCTCACTCTTCGGCCGAGTGTCGAGCAGTCAACAGCCCCTGAGGATGCCTCGTGGAGAGGCGAAACACGTGTCGGGTATATTTTTGGTTATGGTTTGTGACTATAGTTGCGTTTGTGTTATTTATTTTATTAATGTTACGCGGAGGGAGGGTGGAATAATTAACTGCATGAAAACCTATTCAACACAAACGCAGCTATTTTGCACGATTTAACCTTCACTGGGTTCGCGGAGTAGCAAATTAATTTACGTCCATTTTTATTTACATGGACTTTCGCAAAGTAACGCCTGAATCTATTAATTATCTTGAGTTCGTCGTCGTTCAACTATTTATTTAAAAAATATACATTGAGAGTTTACAGTGTTACCCAAAGTCTTCACAATGCTAGTAATAAGTACAAGCCAATACATAAAGTTATAAAGAATAAGACAGAAAAGAAAATAAAACAGTTAAATAATAGTAATCAATAATGTTAAGTATTGACGCGTGGTACAGCCCTAGAATAGCACCACCCCCTTCTCATTCTGTGGGTGTCGTAAAAGGTGACTAAAGGAAAATTGCCAGAAGAAGACGGGCAGCAGTGTCTTCTACTCATCTTGGCCAGAACTGCGATCGCCAACCCGCCTGCCAAGCGTGGCGATTATGGCAAAACCCCAAAGATGATATGGTACTATAGCAAGGGAACGTGGCTTGGGCTTGCGTAGCGAGAGGTACTTTATAAACATAAACGACGATTATATCATAATTATAACTTTATACGTGTATTCAATTTCAAAGCTTTGTCCTGAACTCCTAAATGTCTGTTCGACATCAACACTCTATTGTTCTTACAATTCCAAATACAAAACCTGCTGCCTGTACTACAGTTCACACACCAAAGAATTGGCTCCTACTTCCCGGCAGTCCTGCTCTTCCTAGTCACGGTAGCGGCTTTGGAAACAGGGCATGGGGTGCGAAGAATCCCCGGGAGTGACCCGGCTACCATCAGCGACGACGACTGGACTTGGCAACCTACAACACGCGCACATTTGACAACCGACGCAAAGCTCACAGAATTGGAAGAAGCTGAGAAGCTATTAGTAAGTTACGCTGAGATATCATTGGGCTATCTCAAGTCTGAAGAGAGGGGGAGGATTCGATAATCCTTAACTCCGGCAACTTACAGTACTACCGGGAGGGTGACCAACAGTCCCTTGGCGGTGTCGGGTTTATCGTCCACAAGTCCCTTGTTAACAACATAATTTCCATCGGAAGTGTGGCATCAGGCACCAGGGTGGCATACCTGATACTCAGATTATCAAAACGATATTCATTGAATGTCATTCAGGTTTATGCTCAGACCTCGACACACCCAGATGACGAGGTGGAGGCTATGCATGAGGAAATCTCAAAAGTCATGCATAGCTACAAAACCCACTACACGGTTGTGATGGGGGACTTCAATACAAAATTGGAAAAGCGTTACGGTGATGTGCTGAGAGTGAGGGCCAATTTGGAGTTGGACTACGGAACACCAGAGACCGGATGTTGGTTGATTTCATGCAAAAGGAGAACCTCTACATGATGACCACCTTTTTCAGGAAATCTCCAACTCGAAAATGGACCTGGATGAGTCCGGACGGTAAAGTAAAAAATGAGATTGACTTTATCATGTCGACGGAAAGGCCTATATTCAATGATGTCTCTGTGATCAACACCGTTAAAACAGGAAGTGATCACCGTTTGGTACGAGGCACATTGAATATCAATATCAGGCTTGAAAGATCTCGACTGATAAAGTCTACGCTCCGACCAATATCTGCACAACTCCAAAACCCCGAGATCTTTCAACTCGAACTTCAAAACCGCTTCGAGCTCTCGAAAACGTCATAGATGTGGACGATCTAAACAATATGTTGGTGGATACTGTCCGTACGGTTGGGTCCAAGTTTTTCAAAACCCATCGTACCAGAATGAAGAAACTCTCCGACAAAATACTCCAACTCATGGAACAGAGACATGAAATGAGGCTACAGAACAGATGCAAATCACTACAGGCGGCTAAATAGGCAGATATCGAACTAGCTGCATACGCCAATTTAATACAGAGCATATTAAAGAGGCCATTGAGCAGAACAAAGGCTCCGAGGTGTTCGCGAGAGATCTGTCTATTGGGCAAAGTCAACTGACGAAGCTGAAAACTGATGACGGTAGCATCATTTCATCTAAGTCTGAAATCCTGAAGGAAGTAGAAAGTTTCTATCGACAGCTATATTTTACGAAAGCACCTGTTGAAAGCGAGGCTAAAGACGCCAGAGCCAAGCTTACCCGACATTATACCGAAGATATCCCGGACGTTAGCCTGTACGAGATTAGTGTGGCTCTCAAACAACTCAAGAACAACAAAGAGGCGGGCGATGATGGAATCACAACAGAACTTCTGAGAGCGGGCGGCAAGCCGATACTTAAAGTCCTCCAGAAGCTTTTGAATTCTGTCATCGTCGAAGGTCAAACGCCGAAGGCATGGGGCAGAAGCGAGGTCGTCCTGTTCTTCAAAAAGGGTGTTAAAACACTCTTTTAAGGGTGTTAAAACACCGAAGAACTATCGGCTAATCTCGCTTCAGAGCCATATCTACAAGTTTTTTCCAGAGTTATCACGAATCGTCTCTCTCGTAGGTTTGACGACTTCCAACCTCCCGAACAAGCCGGTATCCGAAAGGGTTTTAGTACCATAGACCACATCCATACGCTGCGGAGGTTATACAAAAGCGCGAAGAGTATAACCGGCCACTTTGCTTAGTGTTTGTGGACTATGAGAAGGCCTTTGATTCGATTGAGACCTGGGCAGTGCTGCAGTCTCTCCAAAAGTGCCAAGTAGATTATAGGTACATTGTATAAGCACCTTAACACCTCGGTGTTAAGGTGCTTATACAAAAACGCCACTATGTCAGTCCGATTACAGGATCAGAGCTCTAATCCTATCCAACTGCAACGAGGCGTGAGAAAGGGAGATGTGATATCTCCGAAACTGTTCACTGCTGCATTGGAGGATATTTTCAAGCTTCTGGACTGGAAAGGACTCAAAGGCACGAAAAGCATCAACATCAATGACGAGTATCTAGCACACATTCGATTCGCCGATGATATAGTACCTATGGCTGAGACCCCGGGAGACCTGAACATAATACTCGAAGATCTCATTAGCGTTTCGCAAAGAGTGGGTCTTAAGATGAACACCCAAGCAGCACACCCATATCTAAATATATACTATAAGATATTTAATAGAATTTAATTCGATTATTCGAATATTTTACGAGTTCAAATTCCCTTAAGATATCTCGAAGAAGGTTTCTAGATAATTTAAAGTAAAAGTGGACACAACATTATTAGTAGATCACAAGAGTGCTTTGAGAAACTATCTGTAGGTAGTGTTAAGAGTCATTCTTATGTTTTTTCTCAAGTAACCCTTCTAGAATGCTACAAGACAATTTGTAGAATGTAGACAATTTTTATTTAGTCTTGTAGACAGTTTTTAGATAATTTATAGTCTATGATAGTTTTCTTAGTAATGGTATTTTAAAACCAAAATACTAAAGTGTTACAAACATAAGACGCAATTCTCTTAATACTAAAAGATTTCAAGTAATGGCTTACAAAATATAAACTATCAAAATTGCAACATGGCGAAATTAGATATAATATTTCTGACTTTCGCGCAATGTTTAATCGGTTAGAAAGCGCAAATTGACGTGCGACTTTAAATACATTGTGAAAAGTGATGTAAATCCTGTCATAAAAGTAATGCGTTCGCTAAATTTTAAATATTTATGTATAAAATGTAAACTTAATAAAAATACAGTTATCGATTTTCGGCTTTAAATATTTATAGAAAGCTTAAATATACAAAATAACTCACAAAACAAACCATTTGCAAGAAGTTCTAGGCTTCTTCGAGCTGATTTTAACTTAGATTTACTTTTTAAAAAGAAAAGAAATTTTCATCGGTTACTTCATAGTCATTCTTTAATATAGATAAAGCTATATATCTATAGAAAAACTTACTATACGAAAAGATTATTTTTACTTGCTTTAGTGTAGTTGATTTGTAGAAGAACTTTCACTCCTATGAAGTTTTTATGATTATCTACAAAACGCGATGTTTCTAGGCGATTTTTTCTTTTGACAGTATTACAAAACCTTTATAAAGTTATAGGAAATAGCATGCAAATGCAAATAGTGAGCGTATTAGCAAATAAAAAACTTTTCAAAACACTAGGTCAAAAAAAAATTGAAAAAATCCAATTTGTCGCAAAGAAAACCTTATTCTGTATATTTATATGGAATGTGTTATATAGGACTAGAAAGGTGGATAAATTCCAAAAAAAATTAAATCATATAAATATAAGGAATACTTTAATGACATACCTAACTTATGTTGGAAGAAATAAAATTTTCATTACAATATTGAGGTTATTTCTTCACGCCAACCACATTTCACACATTATTTCACTGTATTCTATTGATAGACGGCACAATACACATACACAACATTGAAGTACAGTAGTGTACGCGCTCATTTCAATTGTTTTTATCATTTCACAACACGGAATTACTTCACAAGTTTATTTATTTGTCAACAAACAAATGCCATGACCGGCCCGAGCGCGAATTACGACTATTGTATCCAGCGTTGCCAATTTGTGGGGAATTCCCCAAATAGTGGGGAGTTTCAACTGGATTGGAAATTTTGTGGGGATTGGCGCTAGGTGAAGAAAATGTGGGAATTCTAACATTTTATCATTTTGTTTAATCTATCAATTGCTGATGCATCGCTAGTTTAATCGTTATTGTTAGAAACACTGTGATGGACTATTGTTACGGGGGGTCTTCTAAATCGACGTGTTTTTCAACATCGCACATCTCTCGTATTATTAACAAGCAGTGTCACCAAATGCACAACAAATAATCAATTTACTTAATTTTGTAAGGCAAAGAAAAATGATTTTTTGTTCATACTGATTACAAATTAATGTTTAATCTAATTAATATTATAATTAATATAACCGCCTCCGTGGCCGAATGGTTACCATGCCGGACTACCATGCAGAGGTCCCAGGTTCGATTCCCGAGTCGGGAGAAATATTTGTATGGCCTACATTTATTTCTCTCGTGAGTTTGGGTGTAATTTGTGGTTACTACGTGTGTGTCCATGGCACCCGCGACACAGGGTTTTCCTAGTGCGGGGCTATGTTGGGTGTGTACATTATTATTATTATTAAAATAAATAAACGAGTTAAGGTCATCTAATTTTATAATTAGTTTTGCTTTTTACATTCTGTTTACATTCACAGCAAACGTAATAGATTATTACATTTTGAGTTACTTAATTCTTTATTATATTTTTAAGCGATGTATTTCTAATAAATAATGAAAATTCGAGATGTGGGGAATTTGTGCGGAACGTGAACTTTGCTCTCCCCAAATTTGAGGATTTTAACCGTGATTTTTGGGGATTTTGAACAATTGGCATTGGCAACGCTGCACGGTGTTTCGTGTAGAACAAGCTAGCTGGACAATATTGACATTAACATTTCCAGAAAGGTTGATTACGGTAAGTAGGATATTAGTTGCTAATCACATCGGTAAGTATGATTTTTGCACTAATGACATAGATCATTAGTAATAAGCATATGTATATAAGATAACTAGAAGAAAAGCATAAAATTAGATGCATTTTTGCTCTTGATATGACAACGTCTCCCGAGTTGATTTTAAAAGTTGTGTTTATTTAAAGTGATGGATTCAGTAACCAAGGGTAAGTGTTATTTTTTAGTACCATTATATTCGAAAAGCAATAAGGCATTTAATAGGAAATGTCTCGCAAAGTTGTTAAAGTAACTTTTTTTTTACATTTTTCAAATTCAAAAGACTAAAAGTAAAAATCCCCTCTTCTCCCTGGATCGATATTTTTTCCTGTGATAGGTACAGTCTTCTAGTTTATTATTCAAGTGGAATTTCTTGCTCGAAAAGTGCCCTTTTTTATTATCTTTTTTTTTGCAGGAACCAGTTTCACTGTCTCAAAGAGGGACTTTTTTGAAGAATGGGTGAAACACTCAAAAAATGAGCATAACCAAGCTATGTATCATCATATATGCTTACTACATCATCTGAGTGGTATCACAGACCAGTCTGTGAGAATGATAAAGGAGACAATTTCGCGTTTTTCCTCAAAATTATTGGAAAAATGGGAGAGTTCCAGAAGAATAAAAGACCGCTTTCTAGCTACTTATGCAGAGTGGCTAGAGGGCGAAGATATACATTTTGATGTGTCGCAAGATATGGTGGGGGCATCCACTTCTTCCCAATTGCCACCTGGTGTGGGAAGACCATTGGCAGACTTGACAAACGCAAGTGCCAAAACAAAAAGACGACGTGTTGACGATTTGATCAAGAGTTGAAGTTCTGAAGAACTAACAGCGGCTGCTGAAATTTCTTCTCGGTTATCGGGAAAGAGGAACGTAGCCAAATTAATCAAAGGAGTCAGTGAAAGCCCAGAAAAGTTCATTGATTTTCAAAAGTGTATTGAACAACATAAGCAACAAAGGTCTTTGACAAGCGAGGAGGCTCTGGCGTACTATGTGGACTCCAAATCCACAAGTCATACCTACAAACAGACACGTCAAGTCGTATTCTTATTTATATCAGAAGAAACTACTCATATATCATCATTAGTTGCGAAGATTCAGTAAAGTAATTTTTTTTATGACGGCCATCTTGGATTCGCCATATTAGAAAAATTTTGGTTCTGGTAGAACCTGATCAGGGTCCTTGACAATTTTATTTGGAAGCCATACACCCATCTCTAACGCTTTCCCCGGGCAGCTGGTGTCCTATCTGATGCAGACCACTTCTTGAAGGTTTTGGATTTTTTGGTATTCAGTATTCCCAGTCAAACACAATCCTTGTACATTTATTTAACTTACTTACTTACTCGATTCGTTTTAGGAGACAATGATGTTGGACGGTGGAAAATGTAAGGCGACAATATTGGAAAACGGCGGAATCGAAAAATCACAGACACAAATTCCTATTATGGGGCCTTATACACGACCACGTGCCAAATTTCAGCACGATCGGTCATTTTTTTGGACCGCCATCTTGAACTGGCCATTTTGAAAAAATAAATTTGGCAGCCGTGTGGTTGCTATCATCCTCTCTTATATTCGTTTGTACATAATTTACCTATCTCTAATAGTTTCGGAGATATAGTCCCCCAAAATTCATATCGGCCATTTTGTTTTTCGAATTTCGAATATTTTTTATCGCTTGTAAAAACTGCCCAGGGTGTAGATCAAC